TCCATTACAGTAAATTTAACTTCCATATCCCCACACAAACATGAATAAGGATTTTTTAAAATGAAAATTGTTACTTGTTAGAGAGCATGAATGGTTGCTATAGTATCTATGATGGGGAATATACTTCGGATGGTAAAAAAGTAAAGCACACAAATGGAAATTAAAAACGATATTCATTATCATTCATTGTGGTTATAATTTTTATGGTTCTGATTATACTGTTGACGGTGTTGTTTGTAATTTTGAAACTAGATATTATACTTCTGATTTAAAGCTTTCGTGACTGCAGGGATTCATCTTCTTGGTTCTTTCGGTAAAGTCACGTAGAAGGGAAGTAATAAAATAATAAAAATAAAACATAATAAAACAATTCTCACGACGTTTCGGCCACAATGCAAGCAGCCGTCCTCAGGTGAAAACCAGGTCCGTCGAGGCGACAGAGTCTGAATGAAACAGCACACGAGCTTGGAGCATATATATAAGCTGGGCGCATTGACAAAGGAATTTGCATATCAAAAGGAATTTAGCATATTTATGGGAAATGCAGGAATGTGATTAGTACTGCATATGCATGTGCATTATGCAGGATTAACAGCATCAAAGGGAGCTGCAGTTACTGCTGCTGCAGCAGTTGCTGCTGCTGCTGCAGTTTCTGCTGCTGCTGCAGTTGCTGCTGCTGCAGTTGCTGCTGCTGCTGCACTTGCTGCTGCTGCTGCACTTGCTGCTGCTGCTGCACTTGCTGCTGCTGCTGCAGTTGCTGCCTTATCCATTTTAATATAACACTATGTATTATTCTACCCACCCTAATGTGTATCATACTGCTATATGTTTACTGTACAATTACGACACCAAACATTACTCTGCACACTGCACCATGCCAGTGAGTGGAACGCGGTCTGAAAGTCACCGTAAACGTGAACACAATCAGTTAAGATCCGAAATGGTTTATTACGTCCTTCCAATGATTGCTAAGCCAGAATCCATCTTCTCGGTTGAAATTGTCTCTGTGTTTGTATATGTGGATCGCCTCATGAACGAATCTCTCATGATAGCCAGATGGCTTGCAGAGAACCTCTGTCTTGGAGAAGTCAATGTCATGTGAGCCCACTGAATTGTAACCTCAGCCGTGGCAGATCACTGTTACAATTCAGTGGGCTCACATGACATTGACTTCTCCAAGACAGAGGTTCTCTGCAAGCCATCTGGCTATCATGAGAGATTCGTTCATGAGGCGATCCACATATACAAACACAGAGACAATTTCAACCGAGAAGATGGATTCTGGCTTAGCAATCATTGGAAGGACGTAATAAACCATTTCGGATCTTAACTGATTGTGTTCACGTTTACGGTGACTTTCAGACCGCGTTCCACTCACTGGCATGGTGCAGTGTGCAGAGTAATGTATGGTGTCGTAATTGTACAGTAAACATATAGCAGTATGATACACATTAGGGTGGGTAGAATAATACATAGTGTTATATTAAAATGGATAAGGCAGCAACTGCAGCAGCAGCAGCAAGTGCAGCAGCAGCAGCAAGTGCAGCAGCAGCAGCAAGTGCAGCAGCAGCAGCAACTGCAGCAGCAGCAGAAACTGCAGCAGCAGCAGCAACTGCTGCAGCAGCAGTAACTGCAGCTCCCTTTGATGCTGTTAATCCTGCATAATGCACATGCATATGCAGTACTAATCACATTCCTGCATTTCCCATAAATATGCTAAATTCCTTTTGATATGCAAATTCCTTTGTCAATGCGCCCAGCTTATATATATGCTCCAAGCTCGTGTGCTGTTTCATTCAGACTCTGTCGCCTCGACGGACCTGGTTTTCACCTGAGGACGGCTGCTTGCGTTGTGGCCGAAACGTCGTGAGAATTGTTTTATTATGTTTTATTTTTATTATTTTATTACTTCCCTTCTACGTGACTTTACCGAAAGAACCAAGAAGATAGATATTATACATCAGTGACTTCCTTCTTCCAACAACAATAATGAAGTATTTCGATTTAAAGCTTTCGTGACTGCAGGGATTCATCTTCTTGGTTCTTTCGGTAAAGTCACGTAGAAGGGAAGTAATAAAATAATAAAAATAAAAATAAAACATAATAAAATAATTCTCACCTGAGGACGGCTGCTTGCGTTGTGGCCGAAACGTCATGATAATTATTTTATTATGTTTTATTTTAATTTTTATTATTTTATTACTTCCCTTCTACGTGACTTTACCGAAAGAACCAAGAAGAATAATGAAGTATCTTCTTGGTTCTTTCGGTAAAGTCACGTAGAAAGGAAGTAATAAAATAATAAAAATAAAACACAATAAAATAATTCTCACGACGTTTCGGCCACAACGCAAGCAGCCGTCCTCAGGTGAAAACCAGGTCCGTCGAGGCGACAGAGTCTGAATGAAACAGCACACGAGCTTGGAGCATATATATAAGCTGGGCGCCTTGACAAAGGAATTTGCATATCAAGAGGAATTTAGCATATTTATGGGAAATGCAGGAATGTGATTAGTACTACATATGCATGTGCATTATGCAGGATTAACAGCATCAAAAGGAAGCTGCAGTTTGCTGCTGCTGCTGCAGTAATAATGAAGTATTTTAAAATATACTGCTGCAGGCAGTCCTCCCCATGCCGTCGCAGTCGTAAAGGTTGTTGAACCATACCTCTCCGCACTCTTCTGGATTTGACCAGCAAAAATTCGCCTCGAGAAAGTCTTGATATACAGAGTTGACTGAAATTTTCTGCTGATCTGCTGAGCAGTCAAATAGTACGAGGGGAGAATGTAATGGGAGGGATACGGGGCATGGGCTCAGTCACGAGCGCTTTCATACAGCACAAGCATCTACAATATTTGAGAGAAAAAATGACAAATGGACACCCACTGATGTTTACGCCCAAGGCACAACAACTCAATTTGCGTCAAGCTCGGAATGTGGCCCGTCCAGCCTTGTCACACACAGGCAGTGGAGAGAGCAGGGTGGAAAATAATACAATCGAGAGTGCATTTACAGAGCATCTCGAATATATCTGCATCTCAACATGCAGTGCACAACAATCAGACAAGTAGCATGGGGAACAAGGAGGCGTTTATCGACTGCATACATTCATACAGAGAGAACAGACAGTGATGGGCATAGGAGAAGTGGGTGGATGGCGAGAGAGACAGGCTCAGAGAATTGTGCCAGAAGGGGTGAATAAGTGCCCTGCTAATGAGTCAAGTTTGACTAAAATCTCCCTTAGTTGCTGGGCAGAGAGGACGGAGGGGAGTAGACAGCGATGAGAGGGGCGATAGAGGAAAGCAAGGCTGAAGGAGTGGATTGAATATTGTTTTTTAAATATTTATCAGGTAAAACCCACTGAGAAGCTACCTGACAACAAATGATAGCTCAACGAAGTGGCTTAACATGTGTAAATTTATAGCAACTAAATAATCTAAATGCATGATTCTAAATGTGGAGGGAAAAACTGGAAGATCCGAAGAAAAATTCACGTGGCCAAGGGGAGAAATGCAAACTCCAAATATACAACAGGCGTCAGGGTCGGGACCAAACCCACGACCTCATGCATACCAGGCTAGGGAGATAACGTCTCGCCCCCATGGCGCCCCATGAGACGGAGAGGCAGGCAGGGGCGAGTCCATGGATGATCTTGAAGACGGCGAGGGCAATCATGTATTTGATCACCAAGACCTCATATTTACCAATGAAAAAAACAAGTGAGACGGAATAGATTTAGTACTGTGCTATGAATGACAAGACTCCCAGTTTAATGGCACCCATGATGAAGATCTAATTTAACTCTCATTTAAACAGTTACAGCGAGGTAGGCTGCACTCGATTATATCGCATTGTGAACTCGAGCTTCTACATAAGAATGAGTCCCATAGGCAGCACCATGGGAAGGGGACAGTGGGGGATATCGCTTTCTCACTTGACTGACTGGGCACGAGTAATTGACCTCAGCCCTGATTGACAATATCTGTGAACAGGGAGGTATGAGCCAATCGAATCAACAACAAAAACCGTGACATCTCGCCAAGTTGCATATGCACAGAGACAACTAAAGAAAAATAATCAAATCCACAACCACACCTGGATATGATAATGAAGTAAAGCCCTGCTGGATAATGGGCACCCGAAGCCCTGTCGGTCGTGTGGTTTCTTGCTTTGCTATACTTCACCACGCTGGCGAGTGCAGGTTGGCAAAGCGAGGGGGGCAGGTCTGATTCATTTGTCACTCGCCTTTGATTTTAGGCCAAAGGTTCGTCGTGCAGTGCGCCTAGCACTGGGCAACTGTTCCAGCCCAGATGCCCTGGGCATCCTTGCGCATGAGACATTCAATCTCAATAGAATTTGCAGGTGAAATATTTTTGGAATAATAAAAAAGTGCAATTAAGGATACCAGAGAAATTGAAAACTGCCATGACACGGTGGATTAAAATAATGAATCACGACTGAACGTACAAGCCAAGCACACCAAGGTGGTGCTCGCTTCATCCACCCATCCTCACTTCAGCGCGATTGCTTTCCAGCGCGTGTCTCGTGACTCGTGAAGGGAATATCTGCGTCGGTGTCTCGCTCGTGCAGCTCCACGCTACCCACAGCAGACGCGCGCTCCCTACAGAGGATCCACGGTCGCACGTCTTCTACACCTACAGCATGAGCTCCAGCACAAACATCCCCCATATAGCTCTACAGACTGGTGGGGCAGTACTCTTATTGAACCCCTATAAAGGCCGTAATTGCACACGATAGGGTGGGTATTCAGAACCACGTGGGACCGCCTTTGTCTCCCCCAATACTTATTTTAGGTACACACAGTGACTTTGCTCAAGAGACACCGCACATACACTCACACGTGCTACACCGTCTTCCACACACACAGAGAGATTAATCCACCAAACATAAATCTGCCGTATAGCCTACACAGGCAGTTTATAGTCTGCACCACACCACACATTGCCCCCCACGCACCACAAACTCCCCACACTCACCCTCGCTGTGAAGTGTTGAGTCGCCCGCGTGTCTCGCCCCTGACACGCGCAGACGCGGCCCGGCTCGCCGTGTCGCCTCCTCTGCTGCTTTCTCAGCCTCAGGCCCTGACGCCAGCAGTGGCATCAAGAAGTCTCCTCCAGTCGCAGCAGGAAGGAGAGGGGAGGGGGGTGTTCAAGGGTGAGTGGGGGGGAAGGGTGGGGGTTGAGAAGGGTGGTACCTGCAAGCACTGTGGTTCTTTTTTTGTGGTAAGTGTTACATTTCGATTTAAAGCTTTCGTGACTGCAGGGATTCATCTTCTTGGTTCTTTCGGTAAAGTCACGTAGAAGGGAAGTAATAAAATAATAAAAATAAAACATAATAAAATAATTCTCACGACGTTTCGGCCACAACGCAAGCAGCCGTATGTGTGTGAAAACCTGAGGACGGCTGCTTGCGTTGTGGCCGAAACGTCGTGAGAATTATTTTATTATGTTTTATTTTTATTATTTTATTACTTCCCTTCTACGTGACTTTACCGAAAGAACCAATAAGGTAAGTGTTACACTTGATCATTTATTACTTTATTTTTCAATTATTATTTGCCAGGGCTTCACAATCATTAAGCAGTTTTAAGTTAAATCTAAACATTCACCTTTTAAAACTACTTTTAAGATGCTTTTATAGTGCTATTTTAAAATTTGCCTTCAACAGTAATTTATTATAATGCAATTTTGTTTTACATGGAATTTGCTTTTATTATTCTTGTGATTTAGTCTATACACATATATAATACAGGTAGGAACAATGTTCCACACTGCCCACCAGGGATTTTTGTCTGTCTGTCTGTCGTGCATAAATAAATATATATATATAATACAAACAGCTCTTTGATTGGTGGAGACCTACTGCCGGGTACGGAGAGGGGAGGGGCCTAAGGGAAGGGGGATTAGGGGAGGGGCCTAAGGATATGGGGGGTTGGTCAGGGGAGGGGCCTAAGGGAGGGGGGGTCAGCGGAGGGGCCTGAGGGAGGGGGGTAAGGGGAGGTGCCTAAGCAAGGGGGAGGGGCCGATAGTTAAGGGGGCTGAGGATGTCGGGGAGGGTGGGAAAAAAGTAAACACGCCCACTCATCCAACTGCCCCCCCCCCCTGCACGGCGCGCTGAGTGTGTGTGTGAGTCTGACAGTGTGAGAGTGTGTGTGTGAGTCTGAGAGTGTGAGAGTGAGTGTGTGTGTGTGTGAGAGTGAGTGTATGTGTGTACAAAATACCCAGGCAGGTGCTTAGTTTTGGTGGGGCTGATGGTAAGGCCCCACCTCTTAGTGGCACGCTCCAGTCTCAGCAGCAGCGTCTCCAACTCCTCTTCTGAATGAGCAGCTATTACCAAATCATCGGCATACATAACGTGGTTGACCAATAGGGAGCCATCCCTTGATCGCACCTGGGCGTCGATCAGCCTCCCATTATATCTGTACCAAATGGAAATTCCCCCGGTACAGCTATTGAAGGCTTCACGAACTACGCAGTCGAAATAGATGTTAAATAATGTGGGAGCCAGAGGACATCCCTGTCGCACCCCAAGGTGTACAGGGAAAGGCTCCGACTCCCGGCCACGTAGTTTTACCCAGGCCCGCTCACCATCATGAAGGTCCTTAATGATCGTGAGCAGAGGGTCAGGGACTCCGAAAGCACGAATAACAACCCAGAGCCCAGTCTTACTGATGGTATCATAGGCCTTGACCAGGTCAATAAAGCAGAGATGTAGGTCTGTTTGGAATTCCCTACACCTCTGCTGTAGCAGACGGACAGAAAAAATGGCATCTGTGCAGGACCGCCCTTTCCTGAAACCGCATTGGGGCTCCGCAAGCCTCTCCTCAGCGTGCCTAGCAAGACGATGTTGAATAATCCTTGCCAGGACCTTACCCGGCACACTGAGGAGTGAGATGCCCCTGTAGTTGTTACAGTCGGTACGGTCCCCCTTCTTAGAGAGGGGGACCACCAGGGCATCCTTCCAGTCCTGCAGAACCCGTCCAGCGGTCCAGACTGTTGTTATGATGTCATATAGGGCAGTCTGTGCACAAACGCCACCCTCCCTCAGCATTTCGCTTGGGAGATCATCTCTGCCCGGTGCCTTTCCTGGTCTCAGACGCCGGATCACCCTCAGTACTTCCTCAACAGCTGGCACCTCAGCCAGCCACTCACAGGGGATGACCTCTTCCAATATTTGAGGCACCGCAGCCTCAGCAGGGTGATCCCCACTTTGTGCCATGATGTTTTCCTGGCTGAGAGATTTTCCCTCCCCCAGGACCTCACAGAAATGCTCAGCAAATCTGCAAACCTGTTCCTGGGGGTCAGAGATTGGATCACCGTTTTTTCCTCTAATGATGGTAATAGGTGTGGCGCTGCAGGTTACTTTTTTGTTGGAGTGGAGAGTTTCCCATACCTGGGCAGTGTGCTTATGACCGGCTCCAGTTTATCAGCAGAGGTCTCACTCCGAATCAATCGAGCGGCAATATCTTTTCATCGGTTGCGTAACGCTGTGTGGAAGCTACCTGGTCTGTCACTCCGCACGAAGCTTCAGGTCTTCTCGGCCACGGTCATTCCCTCCCTTCTCTACGCTTGCGAAACGTGGACCCCCCTAATGGAGCATCTTCGCCGGTTGGAAACATTTAGGCTGGCCTGCCTACAATCCATCCTGGGTTTAACCAGGCTGGATTGTGTGAGGAGCTCACAAGTCCTTGAAAGATCTGGGCAAAGTCCCATCAGTGAGCTCCTCCGGCAGGCAAGGCTGCGTTGGCTGGGTCATGTAGCCCGCATGCCCAGCCACCGCATGCCTAAACAACTTTTGTTCGGCCAGATCGAGGGGGCTAAACGGGCACGGCACGGGCTGGAGAAGAGATGGAGTGATGCGGTACAGGAGGACGTGGAGCTAAGTGGACTTGCCGATGACTGGTACCAGCGGTGTCAAGATCGGCCTCAGTGGAGGAGGCTCGTGAAGGACGCTACTGGGCAGTTGGAGGCAGTCGCCCTCCAACAACAACGGAGGGCGGAGGAGCGACGCTCACAACAACGAGCGGAGCGCCGGGTGGCTAAAGCACAGCAAGTTGGTACAGTAGGGGGCACAGGTGGTGCATCAGCCAGTCATCTCGGTCATCTCGGTCAGTCGACCCGTGGCACCTGGGTCTGCCCCTGACCTCCTGCCAGCGGGCGTTCGACACTTCACGTGGCCTCAAGGTGCACTTGTGGGGAGCGGTAGTGTAGCGGTTAGCGCGCTGCGCTATGAATCTGGCGACCCGGGTTCGATTCCCGCTCACGGCTAACACCAGTGACGATTATCTGAACCGGTCCTGGGCCTCCCCTAGGTCGACTCAGCCTTAAATGAGTACCTGGTGCGGTGTGTAAACATCGCCACTAGGGAGACAAAGGCGGTCGGGCGTGGTGTTGGCCACCCACCCCCTCGTGTACCGTTCCGGCCTTCATAGGTGCTCGCTAACAGCACTTGCCCCTACAGTCTGTTAAGGCTATACGGGGGATCTTTGTCTTTGTCTTTGTGTGTGAATCTGAGAGTGTGAGAGTGAGTATGTGTGAGTCTGAGAGTGTGAGAGTGAGTGTGTGTGTCTGAGAGTGTGAGGGTGAGTGAGTGAGTGTGAGTCTGAGAGTGTGAGGGTGTGTGTGTGTGTCTGAGAGTGTGAGGGTGAGTGTGTGTGTGAGTCTGAGAGTGTGAGAGGTGAGTGTGTGTGTGAGTCTGAGAGTGAGTGTGTGTGTGTGAGTCTCAGAGTGTGAGAGTGAGTGTGTGTGTAAGTCTGAGAGTGAGTGTGTGTGTGAGGCTGAGAGTGTGAGCGTGAGTGTGTGTGTGTGTGAGTCTGAGAGTGTGAGAGTGTGTGTGTGTGTGAGTCTAAAAGTGTGAGTGTGTGTGCGTGAGTCTGAGAGTGTGAGATGTGAGTGTGTGTGTGAGTCTGAGAGTGTGAGATGTGAGTGTGTGTGTGAGTCTGAGAGTGAGTGTGTGAGTCTGAGAGTGTGAGCGTGAGTGTGTGTGTGTGTCTGAGAGTGTAAGAGTGAGTGTGTTTGTGTGAGTCTCAGAGTGTGAGCGTGAGTGTGTGTGTGAGAGTCTGAGAGGGTGAGAGTGTGTGTGAGTGTGAGTCTGAGAGTGTGAGAGGGAGGGTATGTGTGTGCGAGTCTGAGAGTATGAGAGTGTGTGAGTCTGAAAGTGTGTGTGTGAGCGTGAGTGTATGTGTGTGCGAGTCTGAGAGTATGAGAGTGTGTGTGTGAGTCTGAAAGTGTGTGTGTGTGAGCGTGAGTGTGTGTGAGCGTGAGTGTGTGTGTGTGCGAGTCTGAGAGTGTGAGCATGAGTGTGTGTGAGTCTGAGAGTGTGAGCGTGTGTGAGTGAGTCTAAAAGTGTGAGAGTGTGTGTGCGTGAGTCTGAGAGTGAGTGCATGTGTGTGTGAGTCTGAGAGTGAGTGTATGTGTGCGAGTCTGAGAGTGAGTGTGTGTGTGAGTCTGAGAGAGTGAGTGTGTGTGTGTGAGTCTGAGAGTGTGAGAGTGAGTGTTTGTGTGAGTCTGAGAGTGTGAGAGTGAGTGTGTGTGTGTGAGAGTCTGAGAGTGTGAGGGTGAGTGTATGTGTGTGTGTGAGTCTGAAAGTGTGAGCGTGAGTGCATGTGTGTGTGAGTCTGAGAATGAGTGTGTGTGAGTCTGAGAGTGAGTGTGTGTGAGTCTGAGAGTGAGTGTGTGAGTCTCAGAGTGTGAGAGTGAGTGTATGTGTGTGTGTGAGTCTTAGTTACCTAGAGTGTTATACAGGTAGGAACAACAGGTTCCACACTGCCCACCAGGGATTATGTGTCTGTCTGTCGTGCATATCCGGAATTCCGCCCACCCATGCACCTCCCCACCGAACACCAAGCTACGCTGCGATTGGTTGACGATGTCGGGGAGGGTGGGGGGGAAGGGTCAACATGCCCACTCATCCAACTGCCCCCCACCCTCCCGAACGCCATGCTGTCCAACCAAGTTCCTACCTGCCCACTCCGAAGGAACGTGTTATATCACTCACCACTGATGCTGTTACCAGATATTGAACCCAGGTCACTTAGTAATGGAATGTGCCAACGACTTTCCCA